TATATATATGTATATATATAATTTATCAAATTCACTACTACGTTAACAAAGGTCTTTTTTTTAACTCTTTTAGATCCTTCCTCCCCTTGTAGCACCATAGGAGGGCATTCCCCTGAAGTACCTAGGGACACTTCTCCTCCAAATCTGGCCGGTTCATCATCAACATCCTCCATCTTGCATCCTCACTGTCCGACCGTGTCTGTGCACGGTTTCTATCCTCCCCCACCCCCGCACCTATCTCCGCACCCCTCGCGCCTTCAAGGGGGCAGTCCCCCCGACGTTCTCGGTCACACCCCCTCCAAGAGAATCTCTCCCGGTCTGACGTGTGTTGTGTGCGGGGATACTTCCAGCGGGAAACATTACGGCATCCTTGCCTGCAACGGTTGCAGTGGCTTTTTCAAGAGGAGTGTTCGAAGGAAGTTGATTTACAGGTAAGCTTTCACGCAAGATGCTTTCTTTACATTTTTGATATAATTTTCACGATTTATCGGATTTTTGTCGTGAAACTTTTGTTCGCAATACTTTTGTCATGCTTTTTTTTTACCTCTCTTGTTATTGATTTTTCTAACGGCAAGCAAAAAATTAAAAATAATAAAATAAAAAAACACGTAGAAGGAAGACAGGCAGGGAATTAATATAGAATATATGAAGTTCGATTTTTAAAATCATGTTTGAGTAGGGCTATTTCTTTTGTAAAAATTATCGGAAAATGGAAAATTAGATATTCTAGCTTCCCAGTGTGTAATAATTAATTTACATTTAAATATAAGTAAAACGATTATTTCAAAAATCTACTAAAAAAATTAAATACCAAAGTAAGCAATCTAATAATTTATCCTAATGTATTAGTTCAAACTAAGAATGTGAAGAATTTTCTTGAAAAAAAAAAAGAAAAGCATGACATTTTGTGTACGTTTAGCCTCCTTTCAAGTGTACAGATAAATGTGTAAAAAAATTCTTGAAGTTGTTTACAGAAAAAACAGTATCGTTTTAATGGTTGTTAAAATGTTCGAGCATGTTTTTATGATGAAGAACAATAAAACTAAGAAAAATTCAGACGAACTTTTAATTATACCCACTTTTGCTATGATAATGTGTGATAGAAACAGTTTGATTATGTAATGATATTACAGTTGCGATAGAAATAGTTTTTTCAACTATATCGAATTTGGCAATCACGATAAAAACTAAATCGCGATGAAATTCAAATAGTAAACTTGTTATAATTTCATTAACTGTGCATAAAATTTAATTGATTCTATTATTATAAATTGTATTAAATATAAAATAAAATATTATGCAGCAAATATAATACAAAATGTAATTTTTCTTAAAATATATTTAAAACAATTATTAAATTAATAAAAAAAATTAAATAAATGTTCAAAATAATTATTTATATTGCATTTAAATAATTCGCTTTAGAAAACTGTAAAAAAAATGATTTTGCATTTGTTGATAATTGTATTTGTTGATCATAAAATAAAGCCAGTTATTGTATTTTTTTTTTAATATTATTTTTTTGAGTAAATACGCTTTTTTTATTTTCGGATTTGAGAAGAACACACACAACTCCAAACATCACAGACGAAATTAATCCTAATTTTCAGTCTAAACAAACTGTAATAGTAATATGTGTTAAGGAAATAAATTAATACACTTTTTAAAAAAAACTGTTAAAGGAAATTTTTTAATTGATAAATAAATTGTAAAATCATTATTTTATTTTCGTTGAACGAACTATTTCTTTTAATCGAAAAGGAAGTGCTGCCAAAAGTTTTTTGCCCGCTTAATATTTGTTAAAATAACTACGGCATGGCGAAGTTTCTAAATTTCTAAACTAATGTGCTCAAAACTAAATAGTTAAAACGAAATTTTCAATTTGCTTTTTATTTGCAAAAAAAAAAAAGAAAAAAGCTTTTAACCAATTTAAATTTCAACAATAAGTTAAGCCAGTTGTTTACAACACTTCTCTATAATTAGTTGCACTTGTTAGTCACATTCTTCTGCAATCTCACTGCTACACATAACAACTCTTTATCCTCTTTTTATATGCAATTCAAATCAAATATGACTAATCATCAACTAACCTCTTAACTTCAGACTTTAAACTAAATTTTATTGTAGTATGCAGTGCGCAAAATAAAAAGCGGACCACTCTGAATAACTTTTGATCGAATGATCGGATCTTCAGTTTCTAGTGTTTTTTGAAAAAGTCATATTTTTAAAATTCAATTTCTCAGGAACTACTAGACCGATTTTGCTCAAATTTACTCAATATACTTTGGCATTTAAAATTACATTTTTTAGAATGATATAAAAATTTTATACTTTAGAATTCAAAACGTTTTCAACTACTTTAAAATAAAATAATAAATATTTACTAAAAGTTATATTTTGCATTAAAATAACTTTGGATAAACGAATTTTGTAATTGCGTGCGAAAATTTCTCAGTTCGCTCAAAAAGTTATCGAGAAAAAAGTAAAATTAGCAATTAAGGATCAAAACTTTGAACCGATCTGATCAAACTTTGGGACATAATTTCCCAGATTACGTTACCTCCTTTTTTTGGGAGGGGAAGGGGGTATAAATCCAAATCCGTCGAAAAAAAGGTGTGCTTATCCAAAGAAAATGCGTTTTTGTGTCTGATCTCGTAACTTAAAATATGGACTAAATATGGGCTAAAATATCTTAAGAGGACGACTAATTAGTTAGCATGTTTGAGGTAACCCTCCTCGAACCAGTGAGATTGAGTCCTAAAACGTGGAGACTTGATCATTGGATTAAAAGTTATTTAGAGTGATTCGTTTATTTTCTTGCGCACTGTATTTCAGAGGTTTTTTTATGAGGATAAATATCTTATAAGTACGATCAGTCTAGTTCTATTTTGTACAGAATTCTCACATATTATTTTGCTGTTCTTCACTTTCTACCAAAATTAAATTTTCTTTTAGCAATCTTCGTTCTTATCTTGCAGATTTTATGCTTTAATTAAACTTTAATTTTTTTTAAAAAATTACTTTGCAGTTAATATAAATGAATTATTTTATGCATTAATAGGTGTCAAGCAGGAACTGGAAACTGTGTCGTAGATAAAGCCCATCGAAATCAGTGTCAGGCTTGTCGGTTGAAAAAGTGCTTACAAATGGGAATGAATAAAGATGGTAAAATTCAGTTTTAAATTAACAACTAAAATTATAATCGATTTTTCTATGCAAATATATGGTTTCATGTATGCTATTGTGTATTTTACTGATTAAGTATCGAATATCGAGTTGAAACTCATATATGAGTAATAGAGATAAAAAAAACTACTGAACGCTTTTAAAACAGTATCTTATGAAAAACTAAGAATATGCACTGCAAAGAATTTGTGTTAAGAAACATTATAATTCTGCAGTTTTCCTACAAATTTTTCTACTAAGCACGGGTTTGAAATTTTTGCTAAAAAATTTTTAAAAGTAATATAATAATGGAATGTAATTACAAACTGATAAAATAAATTATCCTTAATATTGATAGAAAAGCAACTATATTTCGGGTTATTCTTTTAATCAAAATTTTTTCATTTCATTTAAAAAAAAAAACAGAGAATAGGCTTTGCATCTGAGTCTCATAGTCAACACCAGATAAGGGATTCGACCATAAATAATGCCATATTTGAAGGGTAGGGTAGGTAAGTATTTTATTTACGTCGCATTAGAACAGCACAATGAGCTATTGGCGACGGTCTAGGAAACATTCCCGAGGATGATCTAAAGACATACCATCACAATTTTGATCCTCTAAAGAGGGGATGGCTCCTCCGCTTTGGTAGCCCTACCACCTACGAGCAATGTCGAGCACTTCACGGTAGAACAGTTTAACGAGGACCGATACCGTGCACTTTTGGTCCTTACGCACGCTGATAAAAGTGGTCACCCACCCGCTTATTGACCGCAGACAGTGATGCTTGACTTCAGTGTTCTACTGGGAACCGTGTCTTTACGATTAGTTCACTGCGGGACGAGAGTAGGGAAGGAAAAACCAGAAGCGTGACATACCAAATTTTGGTTAAAATAAGAAAACTCAAAATTAGAAAATGAAATATTTTTGTATTAGGAATTTTCTATCTTCTTTTTCAAAATCAGTCATCATTATTATTGTTATGCTTGCAAAATTTATTAAAAAACGTAACTAAAGTTAAAAAATAATATTTGAAATATATGATCTATAACGTATGCTTTGTTTCTGAAATGTTTGCATTTGTAATATAATGTTTGCATGATGTGACGAGGGGGTATGGTGAAGTGTGACACATTGCGACTAAGTAGAGCAGCAACAAAAATATTAAAGAAAAATTTATATCATTTAGGTAAATAATGTAAAATAAAATATTTGGATAACTTATAGAAGTGCATTTTTACTATTTGGTATGAAACTATGTGATAAATAATAGGCCAGATCTTCCAACTTCTCCGATTTAAAGTTGGAGAATTTTTCGAAATATCAGTGAGTTCCATTCTCTATGCGCTGACGCTCCCCAACCTCCGAAAACGCAAGTTCCAATGCACTTTTACATGATTTTCTTAGAAAACTATGCTTGCTTCGCTCGCTTGTAAGTTAAAGCCGTTTGAAATGTGCTAGCGTAAAATCTTAAAAATTTAAATAATTTTTAAAATCTTTAAAACTAGCTCCTCCTTAGAAACTTAAAATTTTTAGTCAATGATATTTTTTATAATGAAAAAGTTTGAGTTTAAATAAATGGCATGCAATTGAAAAACTTCCGTCAAGGCAACATTTAGTATACTTTCCTGAAAAAAATTTTTGGTTTTGCCCATAAATGAGTAGCATGAAAACGGCATATTTCGGTCATGGAAACGATATCACGTCACGTTCTTCAACCTTAACTATTAAATCATGTATAATGGGCACGTCTGCGCATTTTTCAATGTCACATCTTTCATGAACGTTCTACAACGTTTTCATCTACTCTTCGAGCAAGCTCTTTTTTTTTTTTAAATTTTTCTTAAAAAAAGGTGACACCACGACTAATACTCACTTTTCAGTGAAAAATAATAATAATGAATAAAATTATTATTATTGAATCTACTATAATTAAAATATAATACAGAACACTTTGTTGATATGAACTGTTCGCTTTTAAACTTTCAATTCTCCCCTACTTATGGCTCAGCTTGTTTCAACTTTTCGTTGTACGCGAGAAAAGAATTTTCCTTCCGAAATTTTTAAACATGTACGTTTGCGCTTTCATGCTTATGGCAGCTCACAGACTTGATATTTTAATTCTTTATTGCCGATGAGGAAAAAAAAAATCGGGACTCCCTTTGTCACCAAAAATATGCATATAGATTTTAAGAGCTAGAAAAATTTATCTCTTAACAATAGGCTGAATTCGATTTTGACCATCGCGACATTTAATTATCTCAAAGTTATCTTTAAAATAATAAATAAAGGCGCTGTGATGTTTTTAAATGTGATATTTTTAAACAAAAATGAATTGCTTAACTAATTTTTATTTCACGATGACTTGAACTTACAGGACGGAAGCTCTGATCATTTATTGCTAAGGTAAATGTGCTTAAAATTGAATAAAATATTTTAAATATTTTACAGTTTCTTTAAAAACCAGTAAAATTAACTACTGACTTGTAAGTTGACTTCGATAATTAAAAACTGAATTTATACTATATAATAAAATGGATTTTTGTAATGCATATCACCTGCATATCTAACTTGTATTTTGACCGTTATTATAAGTCAGATTTGTAAATGTTATTGCATGCAATTCTAAACCATTTATAAGTTGACCGAAAGAAATGCTTTCGAAAAAGCTTTCTACGTTAAAAGTACTAAAATTGAACGGAATTCAGAAATATATTAAAAACTAACTCTTTGTGAGTTCATCAAGTGGAAAAACTACAAAGAGCTTTTGTAAGAAATAGGTTTGAATGTATATGAGCAAAATAAATTTTAAAATGTTAAAATTAAGATATACAATATGTTAAGATATGCGATATAAATATGTTAAAATTAAGATAGCAATATTAAGATTTCTAATTACGTACATGTTTTCGTGCTTAGATATTTTTTATCAATAATGTTTTTCTTAAATAACCAATTTAATATTAAATTTATGTGATAAATTGTTATTTATTCTATAATTAAAATATTTTTAGTTCATGCAGAATATTAAAATTTTTGTGTCATTTTAAAACAAATTACTTATATTTATTTTTATTTTGGATACTAATAAAAAACTTTTTGGAAAAGAAATGAACTTGAAATTTATTGAATAACATGATGTAAGAAAATAGGTATATTTAAAAAAAGACTCATATTTAAAATTTGATTTTTTGAATAATTTTTGACCGATTTCACTCAAATTTAATATTTTGCCAGTTAAAATCACATTCGTTAAAAGGGGGCAAAACTTCTTTTACCATTTAACTCAAAATGGTTTTATTATTAAATGAAATGACAAAAATAATCCAGAATTATTCAAAATTATTAAATTTTTTTTTTGCAATAATTATCTTTTCATTATCATATTTTATAATTACTTTCGAAAAAATTTTCAATTAGCTGAAAAAGTTCTCGAGATATGGCGAAATATGTAGAAAGTAAAATTAGCATTAAAAGTTTCAAATTTAAACCGCTATCCCGCTTAATCTATAGAGAATATTTTCAAGATAGCGCCTACCCCGACCTCCTCCTATTCGTTCTAGAATCCGGATCGGTTGAAACAAAGGAGTGTTTATTCAGTGAAATTACAATTTTGTGTCATTGTAACTGAAAATATCATCTGCGCTAAATAATTATCATATTTAAGTTTAGGCCCAAGAACCATAAGCCCTAGATCGCAAAAATCTAATCATTGGACCAAAAGTTATTCAGGGTGTTTAATTTTTATTTTGAGCACTGGGAATTTATTTACTTCCGGTTATGAAATTATGTTCACAATTATGATAGGTTATAACAGTCTTTAGCATTATAATAAAATACATGAATAAAAAATTATTTAAAAAATACAGTAAAAGTTTTTAATTCTTTAATATTAAAACAAATTGTGTGACTTAAAACGAATAAAGTAACGGTGACTAATTGAATATTGGCGCTATGCTGAATTGATATTTTGATCGAATTTAAATATGGACAAGTAAATTTAGTTACCATTAAAATCAATCTTATAATAAAATACTTGAATTTCAGCTGATGCAAACGATAATCCAACTTCTTCAGAAAGGAAAGATGCTTTGTTTAAATTATTGATTTTGTCAATCCATGCAATTCTTAGGCACAAAAAGTGTTGCATGACTGCCATTAAAAAGTAAATAACACATCAGACATAAATCAGTGATAGAGATTTTCAACCATCTTGAATATATTCTGTATTGATATATATATATA